TTTAACTGTTAACTGCATAAAAGAACCTTGTCTATCGTTTTCAATGAAATGTGCATAAATATATATATATATATATATATATATATATTATATATATTCAATGAAATGTTCATCACCATATTTGGTATAAAGGCAAACACTTTAAAAAATTAAAATCAAACTCAGCGTTGCTTTGGCGCGTTCCAAAACCAATAACTCTTTTTCAATACCATTTTCGGATACAACAACACATATTTTTCGTTGTCCTCTTATATTACTAAGAGAAAAAACAAAAAAACAACATCTATTCTATACCTGAAGATGTCTGTAGGAACAGACGAAAGCTTGTAGTAAAAATAACAACTAATCCGGCAGAAATTTATATAAAAAAGGATCAATTCATTCATAACGGATCTGGAGGTTTTTGTATACTATTTGAATTGTTTGCGATGATGGATGTCTCGCCATTTAAATCATTAACCTTTGCATTAGTTTTGTGTGAATAATTCATGTATTTATATATATATATATATACAGGGTGTCCATAAAGTTCATGTGCACTTTAAAAAAATTATAACTTTATTTGTATTTGCGATAGAAATAATTTGTAAAAAGGATTAGAAAGCAGTAAATCTATATTTTTTAAGGTTTTATTGAAATTTTATTTAAGTTTCCACATATCCTCCATCCTTAGCAATACAAAGGGTAATACGATTTTGCAGTTCACGGAAAACATTTGCCAACTGATTTACAGTAATGCCTGAAATCACATCAGTTATTTTAGCTATACTTAAAACTAGGTACATTTACAACATTTTTACAGATTATTTCTATCGCAAACAAAAATAAAGTCATAATTTTTTTAAGGTTCGCACGAACTTTATGGACACGCTGTACATATATATGGTTACTTTTCAACTGTAAAATAAAGACACTTTTCTGTCAATCTAGTAATTCGCTTAAACTCATAACGCCCTAGTACCAAAGAAAGAAAGTACAGTGTAACCCGGATATGAGAGAGTTGTCGGGACCGGAGAAGACGTCTCTTATATCCGGGTTTCTCTTATATCCGGGTTTGGTCTATTTTGTTTAGGTAAGTATGAGAACACTTTGGGACCAGAGAAAATCTCTCTTATATCCGGGTTTCTCTTATATTCGGGTTTCTCTTATATCCGGGTTACACTGTACATCAGAACAATTACGATGAAAATATTTGACTTTATATTGGCGCTGTTTCGTTTGAAAACGTCACTTTCAAAGATCCAATTTAGCCTGACGTTACAGTTTTGGACGCATTTTCTATGTCAGTGGCAGATAGTGAGGCTGTAGTTATCGTTGCTGCAAAAGACCTCGAGAAAAAAAGCAATTGTAGAATTAATGGAACGATTCTACAGTCCGCTTTCTGGCACCATTGTAAGTATCCGGACAACAGAAATAATCTCGTTTATTTACAGCGAATTATGTCACCTAGTTTATTCTTTTTCAATTACTTTCTTTTCTTTTTAATCATTTCGCCCCCACAAACATTATTAAGGAGAGAGAACAATAAAAGAAGATGATTTAAGAAGACGGGAGATATAGCGATTGACATTGCCTTTTAATTTTTGAAGATCAAAGTTGAGAGGAAAGCAAGAAGCCGAAACAGAGTTCTACAAGTGAGAAATGAGTGGCGAGAAGCCGTTAGCGTAGAACTTACGGTTACTTTTCAACTGTAAAATGATGAGACCTTCCCGCCAATCTAGTAATTCGCTTGAATTCATAAAACCTTAATACTAAATAAGGAAATGGCTTCAGAACAGTTGCCATGAAAATATCTGACTGCTTATATATTTTATTGCATTTTCAAATTTATGGAAGGGGGTATCGTTCATATGGAAGGAAAGAAGCTGGAAGAGAGTTCCACAAGAGAGAAGTGCGTGAAAAGAAACTGTTAACATTGAACTCACTGTTACATTTAGATATTTCAAATGTAAAAGGTTTAGATGTCGCTTCCCATCAAGTAGTACGCTTAAAATGGTAAAGAGAGAGAGAGAGAAGTAAGAGAGAGAGAGAAAGAGAGACAAGTAAGAGAGAGAAAGAGAGGAGGAGCAAGAGAGTGAGAGGGATTGAAGAGAGAGACGGAGTGAGAAGAGGGAGAATGAAGATAGAGAGACAGAAGGAAGAGAAAGAGAAGGAAGAGAGAGAGAAAGAGAGGAGGAGCAAGAGAGTGAGAGAGATTGAAGAGAGAGGGAGTGAGAAGAGAGAGAAGGAAGATAGAAAGACAGAAGCAAGAGAAAGAGAAGGAAGAGAGAGAGAAAGAAAAACAAGAAGAGTGTGATAGAGAGAAGGAAGAGAGACAGACAGAGAGAGAGAGAGAGAGAGAGAAAGAGAGAGAAATTGGACAGACCGTGTTCTATAGCCTTGGATGGTAACTAGTCTACCGCAGAAAAAATGGCAACCTACTACTGGAAAAAAAGTCTTCTTCGTCAGTCATGTATCGAAAGATACATGATCGCCTAAGCGTGTATCACGCATGGCACATAACTGACTGACTGGCGTGCTAATACACTTGGGAAAGGTATGTATCCTCTTCTTATTCAACCAGGGTAAATAGCAGAACGGACCGGTCCTATAGCCTTGAATGGCAACTGGTCTACCGCAGAAAAAAAATGACAACCTACCGCGGAAAAAATCTGCCTTTTCAGTCATGTATCGAAAGATACATGATCGCCTAAGCGTGTATTATGCATGGCACATAACTGCAATAAGCTAGGGCAGATGTAATTGCCTCTGCTAAAAAAAACGTCTCAGAACTCCAGTCGAATATCGATTTGAATTTAAAAAAAATTGTTTAACAGAATCCCAATTGCCTAAATATAATTGAATATGTCTAAATGATTGATTTGTTTTATTTTACGGCTTATCAACCCTTTGCAGGTTATTCAAAGCCAGAAAATATTTTTAGAGTGTAAGAATTTTTTTTTTTTTTCAGAATACATGTCTTATTAATTAAGCCATAGCTGAGGTGGTGGGGGAGAAGAGGTGGATTCATACCTTTCGTTTTGGGTATAGTAATGGTTTAGTGATACAAGTCTTACTAATTAACCCATAGCTGATGGGGAGAAGGGATGGATTTATACTTAATCAGAATTTGAAAAATAATCAAGAAATTATGATGTGAATATAAAGTGGGGGATCAATTCTATATCACAATATATAATCAGATCCCTCACTTTGTGGCCACGGTAGGTTCTATACATTTATATTCCAGAGAATGATGCTAGTCAGTATTTCCTTCATTGCTTCATTCATTATCTATCTATCTATCTATCTATCTATCTATCTATCTATCTATCTATCTATCTATCTATCTCAGCCTGTTCGTATCGGTCTACACCCCTGGTCAAAATCTTAAGACAAGATACAAAAGGTTTAAAAATATATAAAATACTGTTACTTTAATCAAAATATATTTGCGAAACAGTTACATTTAATAAGAAAATGTAGTTTATCAACAAACAAGTGAAAATTTTAAGCTTTTAATTGTTTAATTTAAACAAATATTGAAAAAAAGATTTTTTTGGTTGGTCATAAAGATAAGACCATGTGTGAAAAAAAAAATTACCGGACAAAAATTTTAGAACTAGTCAGTGTGCTCATAGTTTTCGGCATGTAGACATCTACGTGGCTCATTTCCAATATTAAATTTCAGATTTTATAATGGCTAAGGGTATAATTATAACAAAGTTCCTACATGGCAGGGTTGTTGATTCTACAAACTTGTAGAGTTGAGTTAAAGGGAGATAACAAATACAGCCGGAAGAGGCATGACACGTGGACAAAATAAAGGGTTCAGGTTGAAATTCCAATCCCCCAAAGAAGGCCGGAGCGTACAACGACCGAAACGTCGTGAATATGGCAACGAAGATGAGGACAACAATCCGAACAATGTAAATAGCGTAAATAGTTACAATACGTCATCTCAGAAATGTAGACATATCCTGACGAAGGGCCGAGCGTAAAAGGGCCGAAACAATGTGAATATGGCAACGTAAACCATAACAACTGTCTGAACAATGTAAATAGAATAGCACACCTTAAAAATATAAACATATCCTGTCGATGGCCGGAGCGTACAACGGCCGAAACGTCGTGGATAGTGCAAGGAAGATGAGGACAATAGTTCGAACAATGTAAATACTGCAAATAGTTATAATATGTCATCTCAGAAATATAGACCTATCCTGACGAAGGTCGGAACGTACAACGGCCGAAACGTCGTGAATAGGGCAATAAAGACGAGGGCAATAGTCCGAAGAATGTAAATAGTGCAAATAGTTACAATACGTCACCTCAGAAATGTAGACATATCCTGATGAAGGTCGGAGCGTACAAGGGCCGAAACGTCGTGAATATGGCAACGAAGATGATGACAACAGTCCGAACAATGTAAACAGTGTAAATACTTCAGAAATGTTTTGGATATTAAGGAAATAAAAAAAGACTTTTTTTTTTCGATAAGAAGCAGTACGAAGATAGAATGTGTTCATCGGAATTGGGAGGGATTTTTTTCTTTTATTCTTATTTGTCAATTGCAAATGGCACGCAATAATGATTAATATGAAAAATGATTACACCGTATTTCTCATATGAAACGTTGGTGAATGGTCGATGAGAAAAAAAGGGGGTTCTGTCGTCGAATTATTGTATTTTTTGTTATTCGGACATTGCTTATGTCTTTCAGGAGTCTTGTTTAAATTTACGGCAGCGTCAAAGAACATCTACGCCTCATTACATTTTCCGCTGGAAGGTGACACCAAAACTGTGTCATAACGACTGTCAGTTTTGGTAACGAAACCCACAACGTACACATACATAAAAAGACACACACGCACAGACGCAAATGCATGCACACACACATATATGGGTACATACAAATATACATATTTGATACACACACACACACACAAATATATATATATATATATATATACAAGTGTGCATATATATATATGTGTACATATTGTGTATATATATATATATATATATATATATATATATATATATATATATATGTGTGTGTGTGTGTGGAAACAAATGATATATAAATTCCTATACATCAGAACACGGTTTAGAACATTTTATATATATATATATATATATATATATATATATATATATATATATATATATGTATTTGAAAGGCAGATACCACCAGAGTACAGACTGAGATATATGGATAGAGAGAAAATGATAGAAATCAATATCTATCTATCTATCTATCTATCTATCTATCTATCTTTTTCGGCCAGTTAATCTCCTCTCTCGCTCTCTCTTTCCCTCTCTCCCTCTCTATCGTTTTTATTTTGTTCAGATCAATCTATATATCCATCTCAGTCTATTTTTATCTATCTATCTATCTATCTATCTATCAATCTATCTATCTCAGTTTGTTCATAACTACTTAGTTCATATCTATCTATCTATCTATCTATCTATATATATATATATATATATATATATATATATATATATATATATATATATATTGCGTTTTGGAAGACACCACATTCAGAATTCTTCCTCTACTGCCAACCAATATCTTTTCATGTTTCTGTTGTAAATATACTGTTCTCGTGTTGGTCAAAACAGCTACACCTGATTCCATCCGGTATTGCGGGTGGAACTGGACGTCTTCTTCCGAAAAGATGGTCTACATCGTCGTACTCATTGATACACCCGGCTATTCCATAAACCGCTGATATGAAACTTCTGATCCTCCAACGCTCTTAAACATTCAATTTTCATCTGTTAATCTTCTGGCTCCATAAACTATCATTTTCCCTAAATCCTCTTACATTTTTTGTAATCCAATGCAGATTTGTTATTTGTTTTCTACGGATTATCATTATTTTGTAGGTTATTCAATGCCAGAAAATATTTTTAGATTTTAATAATGTTTTTCAGATAATAATAATTTCATGGTGTATGTCCTATGAATTTAAGCCATAGCCGGAGGAAGAAGAATTGGATTCATACCTTCTCCCAAAGGTATTTGCGCGAGAATTAATCTAATGAACCCCACTGGAAATCGAAATTGGTTCTCCGATTTCCAATTTCGAGCCGTTATCCATTTCCCCATCCACAAGACTACAGCATTTGGTATTCCAGTTCCAAAGATATTGCAAAAAATAATTTTGAAGAAAGATAGATTTTAAAGATAGAGGAGGGAGAAATATTTCAAAAAAAGAAGTTAAAGAAATGTCTGCCTAATTTTTCTTTTTCAAAAATGAGAACGAGCAAAAAAAAATAAGGGGGAATCTTTTATCAGCATGAGTGCGTAAATTCCTCCTTGGGGGGGGATTTCGCATGACTTATCATCTGTTAGTTGCGCCTCAGTCTTTGGGCAGAGTGCACTCAGAGTCTTCTATGTCAAAGGAGAGAGGGGCAACTGAAAAAATTATACTGAGAGATGCCCAGCCCTGGGGAACAGATGTCCGAGGCCGCGCCCTCCCATTGCACCAGAGGGAGGGATCGGTGTACGCACCGAGGCCAGCGCAACCGACGGTGGCGGGGGCTGATGGCAATTTTTGTCCTTGTCCCGGGCGTACGCGCCTAGGCCACACCTAAAAATGACCTTGTGTCACATCTCGTCCAAGTGGGGGGGGGTAATACTGCGCATGAGTGAATATAATGAACCCGACTCGAATTGGAACTCGGCTCTCCAATTTCAAGGCTTTATCCTTTTCACCACCTGCACCTCAAAGAAACAGATGAAGACATTGTAAAAGTGAAAGAATGATGATTTTTGTTTTTTGTTTTTTGTTTTTATTTCTTTAACCACCCATGTCAGGTTGTGACACAAGGTCGGTTTAATGTGGGGATCCCGTGCGCGTACACCCGGGTTAGGAAAAAAAAAAATCCCGAGCCCCCGCAACCGTCGGTTGCGCTGGCCTCGGTGTGTGCACCGATCCCTATCTGTAATGCAATGAGAGGGCGCGGCCTCGGGCAGCTGTTCCCCAGAGCCAGGCATCTCTCAGTATAATTTTCCTCAGTTGCGACTCTGTCCGTTGACGGAGTCGCCCCTAAGTGCCCTCTGCCGAAAGACAGAGACGAAACTGACAGATGATAAATAGGGTGTCAAAAACCACGAGAGAGAGAGAGAGAGAGAGAGAGAGAGAGTAATTTCCAGATCACTCGAGAGAGAGTAATTTACAAATCGAGAGAGAGAGTGTATTTTAAAAGAATGATGTTAAAGAAAGCGGGGAAGAAATATTTCGAAAAAAAAACGAAGTTGAAGAAATGTTTGCCTCATGAAAAAAGAATTAAGAAAGAATAATTTTGCGAAGAAAAAATAAAAAAAATAAGGGAGAATCTTTTATCCTGGGACATTTGGGCGTGAGTGTGTATAACGATAGCAAGAATATGGAGGAACAAAATCAAATTTGAAACGAAGTACAGACTGTACAAATCGCTTGTAGTCTCCATTCTCCTAGATGGATGTGAAACGTGGACATTGTTGGCAGAAACACAGAGAAGGAT